GAGAGCCTCTAGATCATGAAGCCTATCAAGCGGGTCTGAATAGCATTCATACTGATGCAGTCCCAGAGGTAGTTAATAATTACAGTATGAATGCCATACTCGGAGTCCACCCCCCATCCATTGCAGCTGAAGAACGTGGGCTGCCTAGGCAAACCAGGGTAGTTTTGGCCCAACTACGTTCAGGATGGTGCAGCCGTCTCAATTCGTATTGGGCACGAATTGATGAGGATGTGCGGAACGCCTGCCCAGCGTGCGATACAGGCCCGCACAACACACTGCACTTGTTTAATTGTCCTGCCAAACCTACCCAACTCCGTCCTGCCAAACCTACCCAATCCCACGGCGGCCGGTTCTATGTACCGGATTGACTCGGAGGCACATTTCTCCGACCAGGGGCCGCCAACCCAGCAAATACATGTTCGTGTTCGTCCATTTTTCTGATGTGGGAGCAACATTACCCGGAATGTTTGCTCCGTATTCTCTTGGTCCGAGCCGGGATCGAGACCAACCCCGGACCATGGTTCTGCTCCGTTTGTCGTAATCGCATCCACCACAGATCGGTTTCGGTGAGATGCAACGGATGCATGGAGTGGGTGCACTTCCGGAATTGTTCCGGCCTAAACCGGATACAGGAGTATAGCGATAGGGACTACATTGCTTCCTGCTGCGTCAATGTAGACCCCAGTGAGTCTTCATACCCTAGGGGATTTCAATGCCCATCATGAATTATGGCATTCCGTCCTAGGTAATGACCAGAGAGGCATGGCGCTGGCTGAGCAAATCGATAGCTCCACGTTTTGCACAGTGAATGAGGACGAGCCCACCAGAATAATTGGCAAGAATTCAGAGAGTATACCAATCGCCGCTTCAGAGAACTGTCCAACCCACCTGATGTTCAGGTAGCAGATAGGTGCTTCCGGGGCACCATCAAAGCTGCAGCCGCTCGCTATATACCTGCTGGTCGAATACCTGAAATAAGACCAAATTTCCCAGCAGAGGCAGCAGGATTAGCAAACGAGCGAGATGAGCTTCGTCGTACTAACCCTAATAACCCCAGAGTCAGGGAACTTACTCTGGAGGTAAACAGGTTAGTAGGTGAGCAAAAGCGGAAAAAGTGGTTCGAACATCTGAAGCATTGCAACATCGGTACCGGAACGAGTAAATTGTGGGCAACGGTTAAGTCGCTTTCGAACCCTGGAAAAAAGGACGATCGGACATCTGTCTCATTTAACGGCGTAGAAGTGACAGATCCGAAGAGGTGCGCGTGTTATTTTAACCGGCAGTTTGTAGAGCACGCCGAGAGTGACAGGGCGAAGAGAAGGATACTACGCCGTGTACGATCCCTTCCAGCCGAGGAGGTACCACCACAATTTACGTTGGCAGATGTTGCACAGGTCATCAGAAGCGAAAAGTCATCCAAAGCGCTTGGTCCTGACGGAATCTCAATGGTGATGTTGAAGCAACTGGATGAACCAGGAGTTGAGTATCTGACAAAGCTTCTCAATCTGTCGTTAGCCACCCTAGTAGTTCCCGATGCCTGGAAAATGGGCAGGGTGGTCCCGCTACTGAAGCCAGGCAAGGATGCCAGCAAAAGTGATTCATACAGGCCGATATCACTTTTGTCACCAGTAGCAAAGACGCTTGAGGCTTTACTCCTCCCCAGCATAAGAGAGTGTTTCCCAGTAGCCGATCATCAACACGGATTCCGAAAATTGCATAGCACAACAACAGCTTTACACGCCATTTCCACACATGTCAGTAGAGGTCTCAACCCGAACAGGCCGTGCGATAGAACAGTTATGGTGGCACTTGATTTATCAAAAGCCTTTGATACAGTCAATCATGCCACACTGTTCGAGGACATTGAACGCACCACCCTCCGGCCAAGTTTGAAACGTTGGATAGTAAACTACATGTGTGGACGCCAGTCGTACGTGGAATTCAGAAACAAGAAGTCGAGCATCCGTAGAGTTAAACAGGGAGTTCCCCAAGGTGGGGTGATATCTCCGGAACTGTTTAACCTCTACCTTTCTGAAATTCCACGCCCTCCAGACGGCATAGAGATTATAACGTACGCAGATGATTGTACGCTCGTGGCGTCCGGACCCATTATTGATGACATTTGCGATCGGTTGAACGCTTACCTTGTTGATCTTACCGCCTTTTTTACTGCGAGGAATATGAAGATATCCGCCACTAAGTCGATGGCCACACTTTTCACCACATGGACTGCGGAGTTGGGGCTATCCTTGAATGTGCAGGTCGATGGTGCTATTATTCCGACCACCAACTACCCCAAGGTATTAGGGGTCACATTCGATATCCTCTTTAAGTCGTCCGCGCATACCACAGCTATCTGCGACAAGATTAGAAGTAGGAACAAGGTCCTCAAGTCTCTGGCCGGCAGTACTTGGGGAGCTGATAAGGAAACCTTGTTGACCTCTTACAACGCGATAGGCCGGTCTGTGGTAAACTATGCGGCTCCAGTGTGGTCCGCTAACGTCAGTGCTACGCAGTGGAAAAATGTTCAGTCCTGCCAAAATGCCGCCATTAGAACCGCAACAGGGTGCCTTCTCATGACACCTGTCGATCACCTACATGAGGAGGCGAAGGTCTTACCGGTGCGACAGCATAACAAAATGCTGTCAATGCAATACCTGCTTGGGTGTTATAGACAAAGCCATCCAAATCACCATCTTGTGGATAGGCAACCTCCGCCCAGGTACGTTAGGAAAGACCTTCATGATCTAGAGAGAGAGGTACAGAGGTATAAGAGAGAGCCTCTAGATCAACAGGCCTATCAAGCGGGACTGAATATTATTCACTCTAATGCGGTCTCAGAAGCCATTGAAGGATATAGAGTGAATACTGTGCTAGGAGACCACACCCCCCCCTCGTCGCAGCTGAAGAACGAGAGCTGCCCCGACAAACCCGAGTAGTCTTGGCTCAATTACGATCCGGATGGTGCAACCGCCTAAATTCCTACTGGGCCCGGATCAACGGCGAAGTGCAGAACATCTGCCCAGCATGTGGCACAGGCCCACGTGACACGCTGCACTTATTTCGCTGCCCAGCCAAGCCTACTCACCTAACTCCAGTCTCGTTATTGACACAACCCATACAGGTTGCATCCTTTTTGAGACTGGACTTAGAGGCAGAACCTGATTGAACTGAGTCAGAAAATGGAAACCGAACGAACACAGATGTATGAGCTGCTACAACAACAACAACAACTCCGTCCAGGTGATCTATGGTTACAGCCCGTAAAGGTAGCAGACATTGAGGAAGAACCGGATTAGTCGGAAAAAACAACAGAACATGTAAAACTGCTACAACAACAACCGACCATGATTTGCTAGTATTTCAGGCTGTTAACATTTAACTAAATTATAAAAATGTAAAACAACCCTTAGATTTATAAAATAAGGAAAACTACATCTGAGGTATACTTCCATTTGTCATAGTACGTACATACATGATTATAAATACTCATTTAAAACACATATCTAACAATTTTCTAAACAATACCCTTAATTTTATATATATATTGTATGTCCAAGTCGCAGAGTAAACCTCAAATCCTTAGTTAACCAAAGACTTCAATAACGAATATTATAATTATTTCCTACACCAAACATTGGTGTATGGCTTTTATGCTATAAAGTCTTAGTAGTGAATAAATGTGGTACCAATTTAAATTTCTGAGACATGATGTACCAGGACTACGCGCATGCGTAATAATTATATGAATCAGCTATGCAATGGAAAGAAAAAAAAATAATTAACACATGAAAACCATGAACATTTTTAAACAATATTTTGATTGAATTGAGCATACAATTTACGCTATAACATTTTAAGAAAGAGTTAAATGCCTTAAGATTAGGTGACAGATTGTTAAAAATGTGAGCAATTCTTACACAGGTTTTTTTTTCAACAAGCGTGGTATAATGATTTTCGGGTTTCTTACAGATCTAAAAAACTTAAAAAGATTCAAAAGAAAAGATGTCTGAAATTAAAAAGTTTATAGAAGAACAATATAAACCTTAAATTTACAAAAACAACAACCAAAACTATTTCACAGGAGATATATGACGTTCAACAAAAAAACATATCGCACAACCCTATAAAACAATGGTTTCAACTAATGAAAAACAAAACCACGGCTACCCTCAAAAATCTCAATACAATATAAAAAGTGAGGCATTACCAAGGCATGAGCCAACTGAAGTAAGTAAATTTGTTATTTGTTACGGATAGCTCTATTCAATAGGAATAGTGATGTATAGAACCATATATTCGGCCTCTGTCGACTCTTGTCCTTACTTTTCTAGTTTTTACTACCAAAATAACTTTAACTTTGTTGTGTCGCGTTTAATTATTTTACTTTTGTGAAAATACACACTCCTCCAAATATTGGAATAAAAGATTAACGTAAAGACTTGATTTTGCTACAACGATTCCACCTATATAAAAAAAAAACAACAGGTACCTATCCAACAAGTGAAATAATTATTCTGATTGGTTCGAAAGTTACAAATAAAAAAAATGTTTTGTTCTGGTATTTAATAATAATCCCCTGAAGTTTAAAAGGAAGCACTATATTGCTCATTTCCACAATTAAGCCAATAAAATAGTTGTTTATAAAACAATTATGTCTACTCTGTATTCAATTATAGAAAAGCGTTCGTTCCTGGAAAGTGTGACATTCATAAGGACTTTGGGTGCTTTTAAAGGGATATTCAGTTAAGAAACATTACTTTTGACTTTTATGGATTATTAGTAGAATGCGCCTAAGAATGAGCCATATTGACCTTTAAATGTGATCACTTGTAGAATGGGTATTTTGAGGCTCACTTACCGGCAAGTTGGCCACAAAAATAAAAGGAAGTACCATTATTAAATTTGTAATAAATTTGAATGTTCATGCACCCGTACGATTCACACGATGATCCTTATAGAGATAATATCCTTGAGGACGTAAATTCTAAATTACTTACCTTCAGATAACTCCAAATCTAACTCGGCTAACTTTTCACGAACATCTAGTGGAAGAAGAGAAACGTCTACACCACCCAGATTAGATGCAGACATCTTCAGAAAAAATATAAGGGAACCACTCCTTTAAACAAACGTGAACGCACTTTCAATTTTACTGTTATTAAGTTACAAGATATATCTGAAGAATATTTGTTATTTTTAATTGTTGTTGAAGTTAAGCTCAGTGATCTAATTGCAGATATTCACTAAAAATTTTCGCGACAAATTTTGCGGAAATTAGTGCTGAATTTTCCTTACTCCTTATGGGTTGTTTGTATGAATGTATGTATATATGAAACGAAGCCGTGTATGTATTTGTTAGCATTAGACACAGATATCCTGAGAACAGAAAATCTCGAGGCTGAAAATTGAATATTATTTCCAAATCTTTTATTATTTTATTTAGAATAACAATATTGGAAAAATCCACTAAAACATATTTCTCTCTATTTTTATGTTAAAAAATACTAATATCACCAAATAATCGAAACTGGTTATATGCTAAAACTTATCGATTAATCGACATTGTGGAGGAAACCCGATTGATTTCTATAGCTTTATTTTATAATAAATTGTGATATCCACTGCGAATTAATATCAACCATTGACTGTGTCATATTCATGGTAGAAGAATACAGGTAAATGCTTCAGCGGTTGGGAACATTGATATGTCAACAATTTTGAAATGTTTTTTATATGTTTTCTTATACGACACCAATTGGATTTGAAGTACATATGTGAATTTTTCAACAATTTTAACGAATTTGAATAATTTTTCATTCAAAATTGGTTTGACAGTTCATTGTTCCTGCAGCCCTGTCGATGCGACTGCATTCTTCTACCACGGTCATATTCATGCAGTCATTGGAACAAGATTGTTCGCAATGCTTAAAGCCCATTTAGACTATACATTTTTATAGCATGTTTCCATTGGAAACCGAACAACGTTGTTCGCTCTCAGAATTAGGTACACGAATTAACCCGTTCATACGGCACGATTCGTAATTCATAGTAAAATAATTCCTTTTTTCAAAATTTTGTTTTTTGATTTTAATGGGAATTTATACTAAAATACATTAAATTCTCACTAATGTGAATAGAAGAAATGATTATTTTTCTCCCAAAGATTTATTATAACATTAATTTTATAATTTTCATTCACGTCTCCAACTTTTTGTGTAAATGTTGACTTTTTGAACATATTTTTGTATTTTTCTATTTTTAAATTCTGCTGGAGAGACACTTGTCAAACATTTTTGCTGCCGATACAAACATTTTGAAAATATTGCCTCTTTTGTTTCCTGTTTTCTGTGGTAATTTCAACTCGTGGACAAAATGCGTACCTCGGATGAGAGAGAAAACAAAATTTACTTCCGTTTAAATGTACGTCCGCTATTCTACAATGTAGTTTTCATTCATAAATTTCAGTCTTCCCAAAATTTTTCAAAATTTCATTAAATTTTTCTATTTTCAATTTTTAAATGTCATAATTAATTTTTTTCGATAAATGCTCTCATTTGTTAGGGATGGGACATATTTTTTCGTTGTTCTGAGAGTAATTTGATTTGAACAATGTACAAATATGAGTGTTCGCTCATGAAATTTTGTGTGAAGAATTGAGTACTTTTTTCATAGTTAAGGGCCAAACAACGAATAGAGAGCGAATCAAGTGCAGTGGAAACGCCAAAACAGTACAAGGTGGCCATACTTGTACGAATTTTATGTGTTTTAGTAAATAAAGTTACTTTTTACATTAAAATTTGTTATGGTCACTCTACTATCTGTTACTCGTATAAAAAAAACATAATTAATTTGTTTATTTATTTGTGTATTTGCGCCTGAGTGAAGATGGATATCAGTGAATTTATAATAGAGAAGATGGACATAAGTGAAATTATAATAGAGAACGTAAAGAATTATGTGTTCTTGTATAATTCATTGTAGTCAACAAATGAGCAAAAAGTAAACAACTTCATCAGCTGTTTTATAATTTCGTCGGTATTGTGTTCCATACGACGAATTTTCGCGGCTCATTTTGTCGCCGCGTAGGGCGAAATTCGTCGTTCGCTCCAATTGTGTTCCTAGCATTAAACATCGGATAAACCATCGAAATATTTTGCCATACAACACTGCAATTATTGTAATAGCATGTTCACACGATAAATTGAATGACGTTGTTTGCTCTCAGAATCACGTACACGAATTAACCCGTTCATACGGCACGATTCGTAATTCATAGTAAAATTATTCCTTTTTTTCAAAAATTTTGTTTGTTTAATTTAAATGGGAATTTATACGAAAATACATTAAATTCACACTAATATGAATAGAAGAATTATTTTTTTCTTCCCAAAGATTTATTATATCATTAATTTTACAATTTTCATTCATGTTTTCAACTTTTTGTGTAAATGTTGACATTTTGGACATATTTTAGTATTTTTCTATTTTCAAATTCTGCTGGAGAGACACTTGTTAAACTTTTTTTCTGCCGGAACCAACATTTTGAAAATATTGCATCTTTTGTTTCCAGTTTTCTGTGGAAATTTTAACTCGTGGACAAAATGCGCACCCCGGATGAGAGAGAAAACAAAATGTACTTTCGTTTGAATGTACATACGCCATTCAACATTGTAGTTTTCATTCATAATTTTCAGTCTTCCCAAAAAATTTTAAAATTTCATTAAATTTTCGTATTTATAGTTTTTAAATGTCATAATTTATTTTTTCGATAAATGCTCTCATTTGTTAGGGATGGGACATATTTTTTCGTTGTTCTGAGAGTGAATTTATTTGAACAACGTACAAATATGAGTGTTCGCTCAGGAAATTTTGTGTGAAGAATTAGATAGATTTTTTCATAGTTAAGGGCCAAACAACGAATAGAGAGCGAATCAAGTGCAGTGGAAACGCCACATAACATGTATCAAAATTGTCAACTGTATTCGTGTATCGTTAAGTTAAATTTTAAAATAGCTTTAAAGGAAACCTTTTTAGTATGAAACGAAAACAAACTCTGGTCACCAGCTGGAAAAGAGATTCTACTTGAACTTTGGTAAGCGACTTTGGATAAGCTTCGGGGAGCCAAAAAATCCCATCTGTGTACGAATATTGTCTCTGAAATGTTGGCAGACAATCGCAGTCATCACCAATCATATTTAGTTGTTTTTTAATCAACATATTCATCAATATATTCTTCGGATCCTTGTATATATTGTTCAGCATCATTTGTTGTTTCTCCGGACGATAGCAACATTGGAAAAAAAATTGAATCAAAATATCAATTCTTTTCATTTTCAATTTAATACATAAAAAGCGCCTATTTGTACGTAAACAAAGTTCAGTTGACCTACATTTCATATCATTTTGCGATAAACAATTAGGAATTGACAGTCAGACTTAGAAAATTAAGTAGGTATAAGTTTGTATTTTATATTCCAAAGTGAACAATTGTCCATTTTTCATAGCGTTTGCCGGCGGCAATTAGCATAGATGGACCCATGGTAGAAGAATATAGGTAGACGCGTCAACACAGCTGCTGGGACAATGAACTGTCAAACCAATTTTGGAATTGAAAATGTTGAATGAAAAATTATTTAAATTTATAAAAATTGTTGAAAAACACGCCTTCGAATGACGTAGTATAAGAAAACATATAAAAATCCACTTATATTTGAAAAAACATTTAATTTTTTTTCACATATCAATGCATCTACCTGTATTCTTCTGTCATGGAGGGTATATTAACTTTGTCATTCCATTTGTAACTCATCGAAATATACATAACAAGGTATATATATTCTGGATCAGCGTAAAATTCTAAGAGGATCTAACGATGTCCGTCTGTTGTAATCACGCTATCTTTCGAACGAACTGAGATAGAAGACTGAAATTGTGAATACACGCATAGTTTACCGGTAGGCAGGTTAAGTTCGTAAATGGGCCATGTTGGTCCACGTTTTCGTATAGCCCCCATTGTACTTCCCGATATTCGGTATTTTAATGATTTCAGCAACATTATTTACCGGAATTATTTAAAATTTTGTAATGGGTTATGACTTTCATTCAGATCTTCGTAGAGGCACCATATAACGATACCTCCCGATATTCGGTATTTTCATGATTTTAGCGACATTATTTAGGGGAATTATTTAAAATTTCGTATTTGAAATTCGTAATGGGTACTATAGCCTATGACAATCATTTTTGCATGCAGGTCCCACATAACGGTACCTCCCGATATTCGGTATTTTGAGGATTTCTGCAACATTATTCACCGGCATCGTTTCAAATTTCGTACTGGAAGATACCAATGGGTACTACAGCCTGTTGCAAAAGTTTTTGTATGTAGGTTCAGATCTTCGTATAGCCCCCATATAACGGCACCTGCCGATATTCGGTATTTTTATGATTTTAGCGACATTATTTACCGGAAGTTCGTAATGGGCACTGCCTATGACAAAAAATTTCGTATGCAGGTCCATGTCTTCGTCCCCATGTAACGGTTTCCATTTAAGTGGTCGTTTTCGGATTTTTTGATATTTTTTAATTTTTTTAGAAATGGTGGAAGGTATTAAAAGTTCGGCCCGGCTTTTTTACTTGTACTCCGTTATGCGGAAAGTTTTCAAAAATTGTTTCTAAAAAATGATTTTGAACTAATTTTGATTATAATTTTGTTAAAATAAAAAATAATAATAACAAAATTAATATTCAAGGCAATACAGTTATACTAAAATTCTCTTTAGAATTCTCTCTCATTATTTTTCCATCTATACAATTAGTAGTTCATCTTTTACAAACTCACAGTTTTTCATAAGTAAAGCGTAAATTTCTGTAATTTACTCGTCCAAAGAACACTGCCCACAGTTCAGTTCAGCTTAAAGATTTGGTAGAATACTTAATTAATATCTTTCCGAATTATTCTTTCCATTGCTTACATCAAAGTATAACTTTTTCTATTTACATCTTTATCTATTTTATTACTAGAATGTTAGTACTAGTCCGTCAATACATTTTTGTTGGTGTGTTACTATACCCATGTAACAAAGTACAGGTAGCATATGCTGTTTCACTGAGATGAAATTTTCCACATCATTTGTTTAGCCCAAAGACGATATCACATACAGCTCAGAAATATCATTTGTACGCAATTTATTGAAACTCGGTTCACATGTATATAATGCTTCGATATATATTTTTATATCATCTTTCTCGAAGTCATATCATGCACTTTATACCAATATTATTTGGTATGAGAATCAGCCTTCAACAAGTACAACAGTGAAATCAAAAAGGCCAAAGGAAGGTCTTGGGTTTGCTTTACTGAGTCCATGAGAGATGTCAACGCAGCCTCCAGATTCCGTAGAGTGCTTTCAAAGGACCCCAAATCTATTGGAAGCATAAAGCGGAATGACGGTAGCTAGACTGACTCTGTTCTAGAGATACTCAACCTGTTAGCCAGTACTCACTTTCCGAACTGCTCCGATGCGGTAAATGAGATTGGTCTA